GGGGCGGAGGAGCCGCGTTCGCGTGGATCCGCGTTTGCACCGAGCGCTGCAGCTCCAGGAGGAAGCAGCGGGGCGAGCAGGAGAGGGTGAGGGCCAGGGGAGCCTGCTCAGAAACCACGGGAGCCCCTGCCCCGTTTTACCGCAGCTCCCCTCGCTCCTCTCCGGACGATGCTGATGCACGGCGCTAACAACTGCATTTCCAGCTCTATTTTTCTGGCTGCATTTCCAGCCCTGTTTTTCTTGCTCTCGGTGCAGAAATCGGGGGAGCTGGTTGCTGTGAAGGTCTTCAACGACGCCAGCTACTTCAGGCCGCAGGAGGTTCAGCTGAGGGAGTTTGAGATGCTGAGGAAGCTCAACCACAAGAACATCGTCAAGCTGTTCGCCGTGGAGGAGACGGTGAGGGTGAGCTCGGCCTGGAGGCCGCTGGTGTCACCTTCATGGCTAACAGGACGGGGACTCGTTTTGCTTTGTTGCCAAACCTCGGTAACGAGCCCTTAACCAGCCCTCGGGCAACAGGGAGGCTGGGGAAGCGGAGGCTGGAGCGTGGAGGTGATTGCTGAGAGGACAGGCCAGGCGGGGAGGCAGCCGGGCGTCCTCCCCTCCAGCGACTCTTCTGCTCGATGCTGTTCCCTGTCCCTGGGAGCTGATCAGTGTCACCCACCCCTTCGCTCCTTTAGCACTGGGGTTGTTTTGGGGAAGAGAGCAGTTCCCCCCTGCATTCCTGGGTGTCCCAATTGGAGCAGGAGGAACCCCTCGTCCTCCGAGCAAGGACAGGGCCCTGTCGCTGGTGGGACCCCGCTGCTATCCAGCCTCTGCTCTGCTCCCGCGCAGGGCAGCAGCAAGCAGAAGGTGCTGGTGATGGAATACTGCTCGAGCGGGAGCCTGCTCAGCGTGCTGGAGGATCCCGCCAACGCCTTCGGCCTCGCCGAGTCCGAGTTCCTCATCGTGCTGCAGTGCGTCGGTGCGTGGCGGAGCCGGGATGCGCTCCGGCTCATCCCACCCGTTCTACCGCGTTTCAGTCAACCCCGGCCTGGACACACGGATGCGGCTCTCCCCAAAAACGCTCTCTACCTCCATGTTCCCAGTGGCAGGAATGAACCACCTCCGCGAGAACGGCATCGTGCACCGAGACATCAAGCCCGGGAACATCATGCGGCTGATGGGAGAAGACGGGCAGAGCATCTATAAACTGACAGATTTTGGGGCTGCCCGAGAGCTGGATGATGACGAGAAGTTTGTGTCGGTCTACGGGACAGAGGAGTATCTCGTGAGTAGAGCCCGTCACCGCCGTGCCCACCCCGGGAGCCCCGGGCTAAAGCGCTACCTGCTCCAACATAGAGGCCAAACCCTAGTTGAGTCAGGCTGGAGAGAAAACGAGGAGAAACACGGGGCTCGTGTCTCATGTGGTCCTCATGGAGCCACAAAGGGCTTTTTATCAGCACAGCTCTACGTGCCGTGGAGGTCTGTCCCCGCTGACAACTGAGGGCACTTTTAGAGCTAACAGGTGATGTGGGGAGGCAAACTTGAAAGCGGCCAGATTTTCGGAGAGGACTGCTCAGCGTTTTCATTATAAAGTTTCAGGAGATGTTTTGTGTTGAGCATCCAGGAATAGAAGAGGCCACCACGACCTGTGATTCTGTGACCCCATAGCTTTAAACCCCAGCACGCGACGCTGGCCGCTGCCTGCAGACCTTGTGGGCTCTCTGCTTCATCCCTGTAGCACCCGGACATGTACGAGCGAGCGGTTCTGCGGAAACCCCAGCAAAAGGCTTACGGAGTGACCGTGGATCTGTGGAGCATCGGGGTGACCTTCTACCACGCTGCCACCGGCAGCCTCCCCTTCGTCCCCTTCGGCGGGCCTCGCCGCAACAAGGAGGTCATGTAGGTGGCTTTTGGGGTGCAAGGCTCTGGGACTTGCAGCAGAAACGTGTTCCAGCTCCCTGTGCCGCGTTGCTGGTCCATTTCCTCCCTTTATTTTCTGCAATCCTCACCCTGCTCGCGCTGCTGCCGCTGGCCCTTTGCGCTCCCGCCGCGAGGGCTGCAGCGCCCCGGGGGAGGTCGCCCAGCCTGGGCCACCAGCAGGGATGAAGCCACCGACTTCATCCCAACAGGCATAAAATCACCACGGAGAAGCCCCCCGGGGCCATCGCAGGGGTGCAGAGGCAGGAGAACGGGAGCATCGAGTGGAGCTACAAGCTGCCTGCCACGTGCCAGCTCTCCATGTGAGTATCCCACCGGGATAGCCATGGACGTTCCCACTTTTAGAGCTGTAAAAAGGGGCATAAAGCAGTGACTTGTTTGCAGGAGACTCTGCTGCGGAAGTGGCTAAAAACAACCCTTCTTTCTTCCTCTCGTTGCTGCAGGGGGCTGCAGGTCCAGCTTATACCAATTTTGGCTAATATCCTGGAGGCAGACCAGGAGAAGTGCTGGGGATTTGACCAGTTTTTTGCAGAAACCAGCGATATTCTGCACAGGATCGTGGTCGATGTCTTCTCCCTGCAGCAGGCTTCCCTGCATCGCATTTACATCCACTCCCACAACACGTAAGGAAACCAACCTGGGATTGGATGCAGGAACTGGAGCCTCAGCTCCCAATTTCAGGATGTGACCTCAGGATGGTTCCCTCTAAAGCTGGTTGAAACAGAGCAGCCCAGCCCTACAAAAAAGCAGGATGTCTGAGTGCTCCTCTTGTTTCTCACTCGCTACCATGTCATATGTTTCGCATTTTTAGTACCACCAAATTCTTAGACGCTGTCTTCAAGCAAACCAACATCGCCCCTCACCACCAGGAATACTTCTTTGAGGGCCACCTGTATGAGCTGGATCCCAACCTGCAAGCTCACGACTTCCACAGGACCACGGAGCGCAGCCCGCTGACCCTGCTGAGCACCGAGGCCCAGGAGCAGCCGCTGGGACTGAAATACAGAGACCGTGAGTATCCCGAGCCTTGCCCTGCACCACGGCATTCCCGGCCCAGGCAGGGAGGCTCCAGCGGCGGTTTCCATAAGAGGGATTTGATCGCAGGCCCGTGGGGCCCAACCCAGTGCTGAGCGCAGGATTAGGATGTTGCAGGTTCAGCTGCCCCATGCACCCCCTGCTTTCCCATCCCATCCCAGCCTTCCAGGCGCTTTTGCTCCGGAATTGCTTGGAGCGCGGGAGCCGGCACCAAGCTGGCTCGGCGCTTCACCCGAGCGGGCACGAGATGTCACTGTGGCTCCGCAGCGGAGCATCCACGGGGCGCGGGATCCGCCGGGAGCGCGGGATCCGCCGGGAGCGCCGCGGGGATCGCCCCGCTCCA